GCATTTTGTGATGAACAAAAATCCAATTTCAAACCTATGCTGCACAATCTTGTTTTGCAGGATTCTAAACCTCAAGATCTCTCCATAATTATAAGATTAAACTTGCTTTTGAGCTATTATCCAAGTGTTCCAAGCATTGTCCAAGCCAATTTTCCATTTTTGGAAGAAAGCTATCATTCCATTCTTGAAAAGTTGCTTTAATCACAAAGTCAACTTGTCTTGAGCTTCTAACTTGTTCTTTCTGCACACATAACTCCTATAAACCAAAATAATGTGTCTAAGACCTAAGAAAGCTCAGAACATGCTTGTACAATACTTGAGATTTGTCATTTCACTTTTCTTCAAAAGCAAGTTATAGAGCCATAACCCTATAACTCAAAAACCTGGAGTAATTTTGTTCTCTAATCTTTTCCGTACATATTAACAAGTTTATTGCAAGCTAAGGCACGATTTCAAGCATCCTAAAACTCTCCCAAACACCCTTATTGCACAAGACTGCTCAACTTGACAGTTTTGAGCCAAAACTCTCCATCTCCATTTCCACTCGTGCGTTTTGATTCTTAATCATTCAAACACCTTACATACATCATACACAAGTGATCCAGGCCCCTGTTTTAAGACTGTAAACCCTCCATCACTATCCACTATTTTCAAATATCAAGCTTGCAGGTTGACTTGAGTAGGGAGATTCAGGGACTTTCAAAGCAAAGTAAGAGTTGGAATATACTCAAGGAGGTCCAGGCAAGCTAAACAGATCATCAAGCCATCTCCGAAGTTGCTCAAACTCCATTCACGACTCCAGCTGCAAGAGGTAAGTTTTCAAACTTCCATCTCTTCATAAAGGCATCATTTGTTTCTGATTTGTGAAGATAAAATTTAAATATCATTGCTCTAAAACTGACCATGTTCATAGTTTTTATTTATATTGATTGTATGTAGAGAATTTCAGATTTGAACTTTCTGAAAAAATTAGGTTTCAATTTAGGGCCAGCAAAATTAATCTTCATCTTTGACTTTTAGCTTACATAAGTTATATGGTTAGATTCGTGAGGAAAAATAGCACAACTTTCATGTTTGCATTTTCCATTTTTGTTGAGAAACGAATGAGATACAGGTGGTCCGGCTGGCTGAAGGTTGAAGACGAAGTACATGTCATGGAGACGTTTTACCTTATATATTTATTGTTTCATTTGTATTAACGGATGTACAACCACCCCAGTGGTAAAGGTAGTGCGTGTGTATGGAAGGTCATGGGTTCAATACCCATCGCTACCTTTTGCCATTATTTTTCAGCATTTTTCTCATTTTTGTTCAACTAGGCGTCTGGGCTTCCAATAAGTGGGACTTGTGTTTTTTTTTCTTTGTTGACTCCCATCTTGACTTTTGGCACCCCCTGGCCCATTTTGTATTTATTTATTTATTTATTTCATTTTTCTTTTTAAATATATTTTCTAAAATACTAAAAATCATAAAAAAATATAAAAATAGTAGATTTATGTTTTGACATAATTTAAATATTTTTCTCACACAAAAAATATTTTATTCATCATATTTTATTTATCTTTACTAATTATCTTGTAAATTTAATTAAAATTAGGTTATTATTTATTTTCTTTTATACCTATTTAAATATATTATTTTAATATAAAAAAAGGCCAAAAATATTTTATAATACTATAATTTATTTCCAAGACAAAAATAACAAAAAAATATGCTTTTCTTATAAACTTAATTTCTTTTTAATCAATTAATAGATTTATGGTTTTATTTAAAATCTTTTCTTAGTAAATTAGGTTTACTTTTATTATTTTAATTAATTATTTTCTTTTAATTAATTAGGTTAAAACAAATTCCTTTTTCTCATAAAAAATTCAAACAAAAAGATCCATTTTCTTTGTATTTACATTCTTGCATATTTATTTTTGTATATTTATTTATTTCAATTATTGTATAAATTCAATATGGTTGTAATAGACTAATTAGGCTTTAAATTCTTGCAATCCCCATTCAATTTGTATATCCCCTTCCCACAAATCATGTAATAGCTTAATATTTTTATTTTCTGCAATTTAAATGCTTTATATTCACATGCTAGTAATTAGGGTTTGTATGAAAAGAACAAAATCAATCAAATAGAAAACCCTAATTCAAGACAAAATAAAGCATGAAAACAATACACTTGCACACAAGCACCCCTAGGGTTATCCCACTTGGTTGCCTTATACAAAATGGTCATATTACACATGTAAGGTATCTTAGCAAAAACAAGCAAATACAAGATCATAGTCCCTCGATGACGCTATCTAAGTTGCCATACAAATGATCTTAGTCCCTAAAAAAGAATGCTAAGATACCTTACAACATTGTTAATCATGGCTATACGATGACCCACGCCCGTCCCGTTTACATCCAAAGATAGGGTTGCTTACCAAATCAATGGTAAGACAACAATGTCAAAGGAAAAGAAAATGAACAAAAAAGACATTTGAGTAGGTAGATTGCTCCTAATTACTTGCTCCATTCTAAAACAAACATCCTTGCTATTTTAAAAAACAAACACATACACTTTCAAACATCTTACAAAATTGAAAACATTTTCAAAAGATCAAACACCTTTGTATACATTTTTACAAACAAGAATCATTACAAAGATTCCCGATCTTGTTTGAGTGATTAGTGTTTTGTAAAAACGCAAGGATGTTTTCATAAAGTATCATGGCTAAATCACACACTCACTAAAATATTTTTTAACGCCTCTACTTCTAAAATAAAACAACCTAAAAATTATTTGGAACTTATCCATACGAATCAAGATATGTCAGAACAATTTTGATTTAAATTTCTTTTGGAACTTTCCAATCAATTGGAGCACATTCCCAACCGATTAGTTAAGTGAAAATTGTGTCTATAATCGCTTGTGACAATGTCTTAATGAACGACAACTGATATTTTACAAAACATTCTAAAATAGACATTTGTAATAAATTATTTTTTGTACATCCAAACAATTAGGATAACTACTCAATTGATTGAACCATTAAATTGGCTCATGAATTGTTTTCATTTTTATACCAATCTCTAACCTACAAATAAAAGCTTCTTTCTTCACTTTTTCACATCCATAAACGTGATTTATGTCATTCTTCTCACTCTCTCACTAAAAATATTTTTCTACTTTCTCTCGCCTTAATTTAGTCATAGCTCTTTGAGAAAGTCCTTGTGTTACTATGTGAGGAAATTCTGTTCTAGAAAGGGTATATTTGTAAATTCACTCAGAGATACTCTCTCTTGTTGAATATGTCTTCCTAAGGAAGTGTTGGTTTGAATTCAAAGATAAACTCTTTAAAATTTTTGTTTGTTTAGGGATTTAGTAATAAGTCGTCGTTTGGTTTTAGAATTGAGTCACTTGAGTAAAAACTCTTTTATGGGTTCTTGAAGATAACTAGTGAAATTTTTTCTTTGGTTCGTTAGCTCAGCTCGATGTTAAAGTTCGATGTTCGCGTTCTTCTTGATGTAAAATCTTAATTCTGTTTGTGGTTAGCCAGTGTAAAATTCTGGTTCAGTTCAGAGGATAGCCAAATCAAAAGCTCACTTTGGTTCGAGATAATTCCGTATAAATCTCAAAGTTTAAATTTTGGATACTAATTGCTCGAAGTTTGGTTCGTGTTTAGAAAGAAGACTAACCACTTCATGCTATTGTTCATTGTTTGGTTGGAAGTTAGCATGGAACTTTATTTTCCTTGTATAAGGGGGCTCGTGAGTTCAATCTACTTAAAAACTTCTAAGCATTACTGGATACTCTCAAGATTAAGTCTTGCAAAAACGATTAGGTCACTTCACTTAGACTAGACCTCTATAAATTCTTGTGTCATCTCTTTTCCCTTATCTTTTTATTTTCCACATATTTTCTTTCGGCTGTTATTCTAAAGTTTTCTCAAAATGTTTTTAAACTATGAAATTAAAAACAATTTTGTTTTAAACTATTATTTTTCAAACTCCCACAATTTAACTTCTCCCTTTTATGTGGAGTCACATCTTCAACACTAACAAATAAGATAAAGGTCCAGACTTGAGGCAAGTCATCAATGCATGCATAACCACGACAGGAATGAGATTTATGATATGAAATATTTCATCGTGGAAGAGATCCATGAAGAAATTGATAGAGTTCCCATATTTTTTTCGAAATCTAGAGCATGGTGAGGATTTTTGTGTTATTCTAATTGATGAGAACCGTGAGACAATCTCCTCAGCCAATTCCTTCGAATTTCAGAAGGACCTTCTAAGGAAGTGGAAGAACCACAAAAATATGGACAGAAGGACCTTCTAAGGAAGTGGAAGAACTACAAAAATATGGATATTTTTAATGTGAATCGTAATACAATGAACTCATGAAAATCACATTCCTTTGCAACTCCATTCTAGTGTTAAAAGAGGTCGGATGCTTATGTGAGCCCATCTTGTCATCATATTCTTACATTGTTGAAAGTCAAAATTGTCTTGGTATCAGTTCTTCATTGATTTCATTAGTAAAACGGAGATAGATGACACTGTCCTTCCTCTTCGCACACCTAGTGACCAGACTTCTCTCTCTGAATTCGAGTTGCACCAAGGGTCGTATACTTGAGATGTGCAACTTTGGGGTTTCATGTTGTTTTCAAGAAAACAGATCCTCTACTACTCCTGTCTCATGTTTTTTAAATTTAAAAGAAAAAATTTATAAATATAAAAATGTATAATACAAAAAAACATAAATAAATCACAAAAGCATCATAACTTTCCAAAATTGGAAATAAAAAGAAATACAACTAATAAGTCTCCAAATATTCCTTTTCAACCACTGTCATACATTTTAAGTACCCTTCCTGCAACCTAAGAAAGTTACATCAACAAATTTCATTTTCAACCACAAATTCAAACACCAAACAGAAACTTACTGCTAACCTATGCAAATAACCAAAAAAATAAAAATAAAAACATAGAAAAACTTTGCTACATAATTAAGGTACACTGTTGGCATTAACAGGCTCCAGTGTTGTCTGGCTGTCAAGGTCAATAACTCCATCACCAACAGAATCAGATTGAGCATTAGTTGTTGTTTCAACTTTCACGTTATCATCCGCTCCTGCTACACCATTGGTTTTCTTTGTTGCTGTTGCTCTTAGACAACTGAGTTCTCCTTCTAGGGTTAACCTCGGAACTTTCAAAATGTCATCACTTGAGGAATCTTGATTAGTCACCATGTTTGGAGCTGTTGAAGTTGGAGATGAGTACTTTCTCTTGATTTGGTTGCTTATATTTTGCTTGAACGTTGCCAAAATAAGCTAATGGAAAAATAGAGACACGAAATTAGTGTATGCAAATTATCAGATATTCGAATATATGTTAAACAAATAGAAGGAAACAATTGTCAATATGTTTAGATGACAACACTAAATGCAACTTGATATTTATATTAGGTGTCTCAGTGTCGGTATCAAATGTCTGATTCTAACACCTTATATCTAAATATTGACACTTTATATTTTGTGTATGAGTATCAATATCTAAGAGTCGGTGTCTCGTGTCAGATACTAACACGAATCTCAGACATCACGGGACAATTTTTAAAATTAATATGGTGAATTGTATATCTATGTATGAATGATGAGAAAAAATCGTACTTGAATAGGAGAAGCAGCTATCAAAGAGCTCTCAACACCACCTCCAAAAACCCCTCCATCAGGTTTAGCCAATGAAACACTCAACATGCCACTTTTCCTCTCTGCACCACCAGCAGCACCACTAGTGAAGGTGCATGATCCACTTAAAGATAAAATCTGAAAGTGACCCTATATTTTACCATCCAAAAACATATATAATTCAGATATCAGCACAATAACATTTTCAAACACACTATTTTTTAAGACCTTATTCGTATCTATAAATGTACCTCGTATTTTAAAGAACCACCCGAAACACCAGGTTGACGAAGGATGACAGTAGATACAGAACCAGCAGCAGAAAGAATGCAAACAGCCCCTCTAGAACCTTTATGAAAAAACGTAAATATTTTTCCAACCACATCCTGAAAATTACCAAAACCAAATTTCTCACTTTACAATAATATTATTTTTAAACTATGAATTTTTTGCATGTCTCATATTACCTCTCCAGGGTTCACAGTCAGCACATGAGGTGTCATACTTCCTCCAGCACTTTCAGCAACACATCCCCCTATCACAAATATATCATAAAAATATTTATCTCTTTATTTAAGATTTATATCTTGATATTAATTTTATTTATTATATTATTATGACTCTAAAATTTGAATTTATCGTAAAAATAAATTGTTGACGTTACTTATAATATATACTTTTAAAATTCCACATCTTAAAGAATAAAAAATTAAATAAAAAAGCTAACATTTACCAACCTGAGTTAATCATGGTCAAAAAGAAATTATTTATTGACTCAATATAATTACTTTTATAATATAAAAATCTTTTGGTTGTAAATTATTATTTTTATATTTAAAGTTTATACTTTTTTTATATTAAAAAAAATAGTAATGACTTTTTAAGAGCCTAAAACTCACCGCCCAAACAAACCGAAATTAAATGAGAAATTAACACGAGTAATGCTAAAGATGGTCAAAAGAATATTAGTAATAAAAATAAAAAAGTAGAGATTTCGTATCTATTAATTAATATAAAATAAATCATAAAAATAAAAGCTTTCTTCTTTAAGATAAGACTATTTGTAAAACTCCAAAACCTTCTACCTTACTAATCCTTTAACTGTTGGAATGCATAATCATATTATGAAATAATAAAAAATATTCAACAATAAAAATTACAAAATAATTAGTAAACAAAATTATCCAATTTCCAATAAAAATTATAAAAATGCATGTTATGAATTGTGTTGGATTGTTTTAGATTAAGAAATGTTTGATCTCAAATCCAATACTCCTTAAAAAAACACGACACAATCATTCCTATGAATCACAAACGTTAAAAACGCGCCTTCTCAATTCTTAACAAAAACAAAAACTCATGCAAAATGCAAACAAGAAAAAAATCAATGAAAAGTAAAAGAAACTCATCCATACCAATAGAGGCCAAAATCTGAAGTTTTCCAGAACCACGAGGACGTCCTCTTCCACGTTTCACTTCACTTCCAAAAGGTTGATTAACAAGCTCACGTGACCCTGACCCTGACTCTGACACAGACACATCAATCTCATACTTCCTAGGCCTACCTCTCGGCCTTTTCACCCGAGAGTCCGAACCTGTATTTTTAGGTTCGGATTTTTCTCCGGTGTCTGAACCAGCATCAATCTCAATAACTTCTGTTACGACAGTATTGTTATGATTGATGATGGTTTCTGTGACGGGTAGGTTTAGGTTTTGATCAGCCATGAGTGAGATACCTTTTGAAATTCTGAAACTATTTCTGCAAAATAAAAATAAAATAATTAACTTTGTTTATGGGTTGTGAAGAAAATTAAAATAGATGTGTTTCATATACGTTACTGCTGCTTCATAAGAAGAAAAAGTAAAAATAAATAAATGATTAAAAACAAAAAACCTCTCTTTTATTTCTTTTTAGAAGAAACTGTTCTTTAGCCTTTGATGTTAAGGTGTGAATGAATTTTTGATTTTCTGAATTCTTTTTCTGAAACGGAGAAAATAACTCTTCTCTTTGTATCTTCTTTTTTATTTTATATATGAATAAATAAATCAGTCAAAAAATAATGCATATTTATAATAAAACAAATATATGCATCTTGACCAAAAAAAAAAACAAATATATGCATATTTATTTTTATAATTAATAATAATAAATATAAATAATAAGTAGAAGGGAATTAATTGGGGCTGATGAGTGTTATTTCTGTTTATATAGAGGCGATGCCTATTTCCCAAGTTTGATTTTTAAGATAAAAAAGGATAAAATAATCAATTAATATTTATTTCTAATTATTATTTTGTGTATTTTTATGCGATTTTCTTGTTAATTTGAATTATTTATTATATTGATATATGTTGGTGAAATATAGAATCTTGACTATAATGAAAATGAAATTAATTAAATAGATTAGATTTTTTCTATGAGGCCTGTGATTTAAAAAATAAATGTTTTATAATATTAAAAAAAAATTAGGTACATTTCCTTAAATGTGATTTATATTTTTTTCAATGAAAATATCATAAATATATAGTTTTATATATATATTAATTTCTTTTTATTTTTATTCTTTAAAAAATATTTAAATATATTTATCATATTTTTATTGGAAAAAGTATCAACCACGTCTATAAATTATATCTAAGAATTTTTCATAATATTATACCAGATATTTTTTACTAATATTATTCACCATGTAAAATATTTATTAGTTTTTAATATGGAATTAAATATTATTTTAAGAATTCAAGAATTTAAAATGATAGTGAAATATGTCAAAAGTTTTAGTTGTTACGATTTGTTAGCCTTTCCAATTCACACCAAGATCTCAAAATATAAATCTTTATTATGAAGGAGGGTGTATTGAAAAAATCTACTATATATTTTCTTACAAAAATCATAACAAACAAAAATTATTAATTATTTTTAAATTTTATAAGACTATTGATTTTTTTTTATATAAAGAATTCTAACTTTATAGTTTATACAAATTTATCATGTAAAAAATTTTAATTTTAACATTAAATCAGTATATATTTTGAATGTTTTTTAAAATATGTTTAAAATATTATATATCAAATAATTTACCTCAAATAAATTAAAATTATTATTTTTTAAACAAAACACTCGAAGTAAAATTAAAAAAATAAAATAAAAATTTTCAACTCTTTTCTTTTTGTGGAGGGCTTTCTTATAATGTTTTAAACAACTCTCCAATAAATCATTCAAAAGTATATATTTATTTCAATAAAATATGTTTTGATTTAATGATGGTGACTAAAATTCCTTATAAAATATTTTGCAAATGTATAAGTGTGATATTTTTTTATGGAAACAAAAATTAAATTTTGATAACTTTGTATAGACCAAAAATATATTCAATTTAAAATTAATATATTTAAAAATTATTGCTGAAATTAATGCAATTTTTGTAAGAACAAAACAAAACTTCTTATATTAGTTGTAACTTTTATTGGTAAAAATCATTATATTATAATTATTTAAACTTTTAAATTGTTTAGTGTAAAGTAAGAATTCAATTAAATTGTTTCTAAAAAAAGTTACAAAGAGATTTGTTATATCATGTCAATTTTTTAACATGTATTTTCTTCACATTTAGTTTATACTAATATTTTTAAATATAAATTAAAAACAAACTAGAGAATACTTATAGTTTTTAAGCATTTTAAAACCAAGATGATTTTACATACGAGTAACGAAGGATATTTTATATTTCTTAAAAGAAACGAATATATTTATTAATAGAGTTTAACGGATATATATTAACAGTATAAAATAATTTACACTATTATTTAATAGAAAATTATCAATTTAATTGTTTTGTTATTAAATTTTTTAAAATAAAAGAATAATTTAATTAAATACATAGTATTAATTAATTAATAATATAAAAATATCTTACACAGTCAACATATCATCGTATTCTCTTATTAATATGGTATTCAAATAAATAAAAGATAAATAAAAAATATACTGAGGAACTTTTATTTAAGAAATGGAGAGGATTGCTACATGGCAATGCTTCATGTCCGAGAATCAGAATTAGTAAATTATAGTTGTATGCATATTATTTTATTCCTTCATTTATACTTCATACTATTATCAACATCTTTAGATTCATTGCAGGTTGTCTCTATTTAAACTATATTGGTGTCCTCGTTTAAAGGTAAACCAAAGTGTATTCATCTACAATTCATAGCAGACAAAATCAATGCTCAAATATCTTTTTAGAATGAACACTCAACTTAGGCCATATATCATCCGAGTACAACATATGTTTGTACTCATGAAAAATACAAACTCTCTTACATAGGAGAAAAGTGAGTTCATGTATCTATGTCTAGGAATTAGTGATTATTTTTCAACCCAAAGGATTGTGATATTTATAACCATTGAAAGTGTAATTCTTTGAGTAGAAATAGATTATTGCTCGATATAAGGTGTCTCGAAAAACTTAATATATGGAATTGTAAGTAGTTGTTGAAGTGTTGTAAGTAGGTTATTACACACATATTCGATTTAGATCAATAGATATTTTGGACTTTTTGTATTTTGGGCTTTGACCTAGAGAGAAAACTAACCTAAAACTATAAATAGAGAGAGTAACTCATATTTTTGTAATAAAGTCATAACAACTTGTATTCACGGAATTTTGTAGTTGTAAAGTGAACAAAGATTTTTCACAGTTTTTGGGTAGAGAGTTACTTTACATAAATCCTAAATCTCTTTTCTTCTTTAATTTTCTTTTTCTTTCATTGTCATTGTGTGCTGATAACAATCTTGTTCATCAAGATTGATATAAATTTTTCATAGATTTTGGTGGATTTTCAACATTGGTAACAAGAGCTCCGGTTGAGCGATTCAAGGCAAGCAAAAACATTGACAATGAATAATTTGAATCGGCATATTCCAACAAGTCTTCCAATTCTTAAAGCTGACAACAATGAGAATTGATGCAAGCAAATGAAGGTTGTGTTTTGTTGTCAAGATCTTTGGGATCTTGTGAAACATGAATTAGAACCGCTTGAAGAAGACGCTTTAGAAAAAGAAGAGGCGAAATACAAAGAATCGGAGAAGAAGAATTATAAAGCTTTCTTTATAATTCATCAATGTCTGAGTCCAGAAAATTTTGAAAAGGTTAGTGATATAGAATCTGTAAAAAAACTTGGGAAGTTCTGAAGAAATCATTTGGAGGCGCTGGGAAGGTAAAAGAGGAGAGGTTACAACCTTGCAAAAAAATGTATGAATTGCTTCAGATGGAAGATAGCGAGAGTATATCTTATTTCTTCACTAGGATTATGAAACTAGTGAATCAAATTAAGGTTTATGGAGAGACATTAACAACAAGTGCAGTTGTTCAAAGATCTTGAGATTTTTTGTTCCAAAATTTGACTACGTAGTGGTAGCCATAGAAGAGTCGAAAAACATGTCAACTTTGTTGAAGGAAGAGCTTTAAGAGACACTTGAATCTCATGAACAAATAATGACTAAAATAACTGCAGGAAATTCGAAGAGTGACGTGGCTTTGCAGGTGCAATCAGTAAGAGACAAGAAAGGCAAAGGAAAGTGGTGAGACAACAAAAGGAAGAATTATAAAAGCTCTCTTTATAATTCATCAATGTCTGATTCGAGACAATTTTGAAAAGGTTAGTGATATAGAATCTGCAAAATAAGCTTGGGAAGTTCTGAAGAAATCGTTTGAAGGCGCTGAGAAGGTAAAAGTGGTGAGGTTACAAACTCACAAAAGAATGTATGAATTGCTTCAGATGGAATATAACGAGATCATATCTGATTTCTTCACTAAGGTTACGAAACTAGTGAATCAAATCAAGATTTATGGAGAGACATTAACAACAAGAGCAGTTATTTCCAAGATCATGAGATCTTTGGCTCCAAAGTTCGACCACGTAGTGGTAGCCATAGAAGAGTCTAAGAACATGTCAACTTTGTTGAAGGAAGAGCTTCAAGGGACACTTGAATCTCATGAACAAAGAATGGCTGAAATCACTGTAGGTAATTTGAAGAGTGATGTGGCTTTGCATGTGCAATCAACAAGAGACAAGAAAGGAAAAGGAAAGTGGTTCGACAACAAAAGTAGATATGGCTACAATAACTCGATTGGTATAGGAAACTAATATGAAGAGATTGTTCTGAGTTAAAGAATACCATACCAAGGCAACCAAAGAGGTGGTTCTGAAAATAGAGGAAAAGGTGGGGGTCGAAAGCCTGACAAGAGTCACATTCAGTGTTTCAATTGTCAGAAGTATGGTAACTATTCTAGTGATTATCTAGATAAGCGAAAGAATCAAGAAAGTGATGCTAAGTTCGCAAAGTATGAAGAATAAGAAGAGATATTGTTGATTGTCGCAACAAAAGATGAAGAGAGATTCAAGGACTAGTGGTACTTGGATTTAGGATGCTCACACATTTCTGGAAGAAAAGATTGGTTTGTTAACATAAAACCCTCAATGAAGAACATGGTGAAATTCGTAAATGACAATACTCTAGTAGCTGAAGGTATTGGAGATGTTCTGATTATGAGAAAAGATGGCAAGAAGTCAGTCATTTCCAATGTGTTATACATATAAGGCATGAAGAGCAATTTGCTCAGCATAAGTCAGTTGGTCGAAAAGAACTATAAAGTGTCAATCAAAGACAAGATGATGAAATTCATCGATGTAAGTGTTCTAAATATTGATATTTTGAGAAC